CCTTGAGTTTGTAAATAGTATTTTTATAATGTTGGCTGAATGTACATTGTTCAGTAATGTGTATCAACATGTAATTTGCCATTTGACATTGTTTACGTCATTCTGATTATGAAATGGGGCTATTGTTACATACTATGGTTATCAAGCATGAAAGCACATAACGCATCATAACACCTTATGATAATACAGCTTTTAAGAAATGTGACCTCTTATCAGCATTGACTACTTGGGAGTTTCATACATAAAGCTGAATTGTAGTTTTTGTATTAACATGCTTGGTTTACACACTTTCATGTGTAATTGCAGTTTATGCTGGAATGGTATTTTATATTGTCTAATGTATGCCTTTCAGCAGCAGTGGCAGAAGAAATTCTCCATCAATTACTATTAACTCTGGCGATGTGGGAGTTCCATTAGATTTAGGTCTTCATTTCTCTTCGAGCCCTAATCTGGATAACAACATGCCGGAAGCACGAAATATTCAAAATGCGGCAAGGGGAATTCTGGCCCCGAAATCTGCAGATGACAGAAAAACACGCCGTAATCTTAGACCTAGGATTGAAATAAGTTATGCAGAGACTCCAGATGAACGTAGAATAAATGGATATGTGAATGGAAATGCAGATAGTGATGAAGGTTAAATTTGATAATAGTATATTTACTTATAGTTTCAATGTTACGGTGTATTATATTTTTATACTTTTGTAGATTTTTTGCTGTGCCCTGACAAATATTCTTAGTATAATTGTAATTATAAATATAATTTTAAAATTTAAATAATCATTTACCAGGTGATATGCCACCTCTGCCACCGATTAAAGAACTATCGTCAGATGAATTAGCTGAACGCGAAAGAACACTTAGAAAATTCAGGGAGGAACTTAGATCTGAGGAGATGAAACTGGTGTTGTTAAAAAAATTACGACAGTCACAACAACTGAAAGAAAACATTGCTGCTGTACCAAAGGTACCCAGCAAATTACCACCACCAGTTACAGTACAACCGGCTCCCCATAGGTAAACAAGAATTTAACTTTTGAAATGTACACTTTTATATACGTAGTAAATGAAAATTATATTTTTCAGTCATAGAACTGGAAAGGCACCTCCACCTTTACTTAGGGGACAGCCTGCTCCAAGCAGAAGTAGTATACATGTTCCTCCACCTGGAATGTTATTACCACCTACATCTGCTCGAAGTTCTACTTCCAGTACTGGAATACCGCCAAACATGATCATACCACAACCACCACATCCTAGAAGTAGGCCTCCTAGTGCAACGCCAAATGTATCAAATTATCATGCACCAGCAGACCGAACTGAAAGGTCCACAAAAGATCCAACCCCAACCCCGGCACATCAAGTAAGTAAGGTATAACAACAGATATTTCTACATACATATTTTGAACAAATAAAAGATAGTTCTATTAAATTTTGATAATATTTACATTATTTGTCATTTGTAAATTATGTAAATAACCGTAATTGTGTTTTTGTAAACACAAAGCTGCTTGTTGGATCTCAAGAAAATAAAACCACCGCATCCTTAAGCACACCTGTGATTTCAGAACAGGTATATCCACTAGTCAAAGTATATTTAGTCTTTTGCCGCACTAACTTTGGACTAAATCTTATACCGATTTTCTAGCTACCCTAATAATCACGTCATTTCTTTCGCTATGTTTAACCATCTTGTTCTTCCGCATTATTCTTCTTCTTCTTCCCACTTTTCATGAATTATTATAATTTTAATGCTTTATTTTATAGAGAGTTTAAAAACTAAATTACAATGAAGCTCGACTGTACGTGCCTTACGTTGTTTATCTTTCAAACTATAGGAGAGACCAAGGGATGATAATCAGACACCTGCGCAACGTCAAGCGGCCGCTAAATTGGCTCTACGAAAGCAACTCGAGAAGACGTTGCTACAGATACCACCACCGAAACCGCCGCCACCCGAAATGCATTTCGTACCCAATCCTTCCAATACGGAGTTCATCTATTTGGTGGGTCTAGAGCACGTAGTTGATTTTATTACTAAGGAGCCTGCTATTCCACCACCTCCGGAACCATTCGAGTGTACTCAATGCAAAACAGACTTTACACCTGTGTGGAAATGGGAGAAACCAATCACTGGTGGTAAAAAGGAAAGTCCAAGAGGACAGCATGCCACTTTCCAGAGACCTCCAGCAGGTCGTGATCCTAGGGTGATATGTGAACATTGTGTAACAACCAATGTTAAAAAAGCTCTGAAAGCTGAGCACACTAATCGGTAAATATGAACACTTCAAATGGTGAAGCACGACAAACGTTGTATCTTAACTACTGTAATGTTTCTCGTTATACTTAACACGTGGTTGTCAACAGGTTAAAGACAGCGTTCGTGAAAGCGTTGCAACAGGAACAAGAAATAGAACAAAGGTTGGCACAGGCAGCGTGTCCAAGTCCAGATCCTCCTGCTCCAAAACCAGTTCCTAAAGCAGCTACTCCCACAAGAAGAGTAGCAACACCACCGGCTCCTCCGCCACAAGTACCACCAGCACCCACGTTGGCACCAACTCCGCCAGCGCCAAAATTGCAGGAGCATCCTTTGGTCAAGTTGGCTGAAAGTGGGAAATTCAGCCCGCATCATGCTGCTGCTGCAGCTGCTTTGCAGCAACAGTTGCTTAGAGGTAACGTAGAAACACTATGCGCTTATAATCAAGAATTATGTGATGTAATTCAAACTGCGAATTTTTATGTATATTTATAGCATAAAATTTTGCGGTACAACGACGATCGTTTAATATTATCTTTAATCTTTCTAATTGTTGTACACCTCTGTTCAGAATTGGCGAAGAATCCTGTTCCAGGCTTGCCACCTCATCAACCCCTTCCTGCTCATATGATGCCACCGTTTACCTCGATATTATATCCTTACCAGCTTGCAATGGCGCAGGCCAGCGGCAAGGGTCTTGCAGAACTGCAACGACAAGCGGCAGACCTGCAGCGCCAATACTTGCTCGATATGATTCCATCGCAAGCGTCTCAAGCACAAGGCAATCAGGCTCCACCACGGGCCCATCCACACAATTGGAAGACGTAACCAGACGCATTTAAAGATCAGACAGTAATTGCAAATAAATGAAACTGCAGAGCTGTGTTAGAGAATATCGAGAAGTAAGGATACTCGTAATTCTTTTTCCACGATATCGTACTAAAAAGGATCTAATGGGAATGTGACGGTCGCATTTCCATGCACTTAGGATAATATACCGATTGCAGGATTGGTATCTTTATTACAAAGTGAAGCTCAAACCGGATTAATGGACGACAGATACTTCTTATATTATTGTGAACGAGAGGATACTATCGACCATCATTTGTGAATATTGCATTGACGTGTGAGTGTGAGTTTATTGTTACCCGGAAGGTTCGAGGTTTTTTTAATTGTCGTAACAAGAGAGAGCGAGAGAGAGCGAGAGAGAGAGAAAATGGAAAAAAAAATACGGAGGATCTTCAGTTATTACGATAAAGAATAACCGCGACAAGCTATTGTCCCGAGACGAGAAAAAAAATCTCCGCAATTTCGGAAAGGTCAGCTGAAAAGGAAAGGAGGAGGTTTACAATTTTTAAGAAAGCAATATCCGTTTCTTTTCTTACTGCTTTGCGTCGGGTATCAACGGGTACTTGCAAGGAAACGAGGGAACTATATAGTTGAATATGTCAATCAATCGGATTCGAGTAAGTGCATAATAACTTGGACGCACACGAATGAATGTAATTGCTTCAATTATTGCATTATATATAAAGAACCAAATGGACATTTGTATGGCACTAAGGACAGTAGTAAGTGTTAACGTGATTAATACGAATTGGTTGATCTAATGATAGTAGTGATAATCGAGGAGCGGGGGGGAACGCGCGGAGCGAAGCAAACAAGATTTCAAACAAAAGCAAAAGAAACGAAAAAGGGTGGAATCTGTTTTTAGAGCCCTTATTAATTAAGCTGACCTTTGTCGGTGGTTCGAATAATTTTTTTTTTGCGACCATCGGCGGTACCTGTACTCTGTGTATATCTCTTTATTTTCTTCAAACTGTGAGTATTTTTAAGGCGATTATAAAGTGTGAGAGCGAGTAAGAAAGGGGAAGAATACAAGTGGGAGAGAAAGAGAGCGAGAGAGAGAGAGTGAGAGAGAGAGGGGGGAG